GGGGTAAACGGTGCTGCAGCCAAATCCAATCCAATTGAAGTAAACGGTACCTCTTTTTCAGATGTAATAAAAGTACAGAAATAACACTACATGTCTCCATTCTGCTCGTATGGCGTCACCCAAGTGTCCGGAAGCCCCCTTCATTTATTGGCGACTCGAAATGGCGTCATATACACCATGTTTTCAGACTAAATATCCTCCCCGGAGCCGCGCTCACGTTTACACGCACCGTACACACCTCAACAAGCCCTCGCCCAAGGGCACACGCGGGGTTCGCGTCAGCATCGCCACTTCCCGTAGTGGACTTTTAGGCTCAAGACAAGATGTAAATGACGCTGTTACGTGTCGAATATGAATGTCAGGGGTTTCCGGACGCATGGATGTCATCACACTAGCAGCACGGAGGCATGTTGTGTTTTCTTTTTTTCTGTTTTGTTACCTTTGAAAAATTGATCACCAGTGCTTCATTTCTATTGGATTTGACTGCAACACCTTTTACCCCTGAGACTCCGGAAGTGTTTTGTGGACTTAAGCACTTCACCCACTCCTCCATCAGCATAGTGGTGAGTGGCTAATGAGGGAATTTCCTTTATCAGTAAGCTATGCCTTTAGGGGGCTGGCCTTTTGTTTCACCCCTACGATGGACCTGCAGTTACACCGTCTGTTGCCAGCCTGCTCTCAAGACCACCCCAGCAGCCTCCAGAGAGAAATAGCAGGTCCTGCCTGGCAGGAACAAGGAATACTTCAGTCCAGTCGTTTGCCTCCGTGTCTACATGTATTGCTCTGTACCTGGCTTTTGCTGTTTTAATAAACCTCCTTTTCACTCCCTGTTGCGTTTCCCCACCTTGTCCCGTGTCAATATTTGTGTACTGAAAACTGAAACACCTTAATTTCTGCTTTAAACAATATATTAACCAAAAAATGTAGCCTTTCTTACAGGTGTTGTGGTCCAGTTTCCAGCCTGGGTCGCAGCTGTCCTCGGTCAGTCCGTTTCGACAGACGCAATCACAGGTGGATTCCTGCAGAACCCTATTGGGCCCACATAGAGCCAGAAGACCGGTCTCCACAATATCTGCATGCCACATGGGAAGGAAGTCAAAATATTTTATTATTTTCTACCATCATTTAAAGTTTTCAATATATTTTATAGCCGAAACACTTTAACATAAATTTGGCGCTTCTGTGTAGCCCTAAGGAATATACTTAATTTGTCTAAATTTATATTATATTAGTGTTCGTTGTTTTGAAATACTTTTTGCAGCAGAATTCCCAATCTTTTACTAATCATTCAGGCTCTCATCTGTTTTCAGTCCTTTCTGTTAAACATGTGATATGAGATTTTTCAGCTTATTAGGAAATGAAATGTCAATGGGAGCCATTGTGGTTCACTACGTGACTGTACAAGTCACATTTTACAAAGAAACTGGCTTCTCATATTACAGTTGAATAAACATTCCCTCAAGGGAAACTTGTTTAATATAATTTTATATGCTGCCCAGGCATAGACGGATTGTGGTTGTGGCAGTGCACTTTTAAAAGATAGCTCGGCTGAAATCTTGCACACTAAATTAAAACATTACTCGTGTAAATGGGGTTTCCAGGTGTAGCTATGTTTAAGATGACACTGCTTTCTGGTACAGATTTGTGGGGGGGGGGGGGCACCTTGTCTCAAACAGAACTGCAGTAGATAATTTCAACTTCAGTGAAATCACCTGGTGTTGTGTTTTCTGGTCTCGTGCCAGATTTCCAGTCCTGAACCTGCTGCATTGACATGAAACACATTTAAACGCTGGCCTGAATGCAGTATTTTACCTGCAAGGTAAATCTTGGTTTTCTTTTGCAATATATCTTGTTCCCAACGTATTAGGATTGCAATATTGCAGTTTTATGTCTTAATTTTGTACTTGCAGGATTTGTCTTTTACCTGTTAGCATAGAGTTTGAGTTAAAGTGTAAAGCTTGATTGTCCTGGCTCAGGACCCAGAACTGAGCCAGTCTTAAGAGTTTTCCTGATCTCTGAGAGATCCTGTTTCCCCTTAAAAAAATTTTTTGTCCTCATGATAAACTGAATCTGCTTTTCTTAGTACTCTGAGAAGCACTTTTGGTTGCAACTGGTATGAAATGTGCTAGATTATCAAATTCATTTTGCACTTTCTTAATCATACATTAACAGAAACTAAGAATATTTACCCGTCTCTCTCTCAGAGTAGTTTATGACGTTTGAAGAGAGACACACACAATTCACTGGATCCCACAGTGACCCTGAGGCACAGGGAACGTCAGGAGGGGAACACCTACAAACAGAAACACACTGAATACGAGAACACTGACTCACAAATAACTTTAACTGAACACATGTCACTTTGCTGTCACTCACAGGTGATCTGTTGCGGCTCGTCTTATGATGGAGTGGAGAGGACGCTTGGGGAGGCATTCACATGAAGTGTGGTTGACAAAGGTAACCATGACGACGGAGTGATCCATCCTGGGAGGGGACAGTTCCATCAACTGCCAGGAAGCGAGATGAAGATTAGAGTTGTGTATAAATTATAAGCTGTAAGAAAATAAATGAAATAATTCTTTGATTATTTCCTGAGGTTGTTGTGTCAAGGAGGTTGTTTGCAACCCTGCCCATTTTTCTTATTTGACTGGTTGGTTTGTCAGCAAGATAACAAGCTGCAGGATGGATTAATATTAAACTCTGAATTATTCAAAATGAGTTATTAGTGGACTGCTAAGTGTGAAGTTTGGTGCATCTTGACTGAATTTAAGGGGACTGTTGGCCATTGGCTGAGGTACGTTGTCTATTTAGTCCCACTGTAGTTTTCAACTACAACAACTATTATTATTATCACCAACAATACTTACTATGATTATGACTAGTCTATGAATTGTTGCTTCTATCGTTATCAATAACGTCATTACACATGTTATTGTTTTCATTTTAACTAGTCGTGCTGATACCTGAAGTTGATGTTGTTGTGTTCCCGGTGTCTCTTGCCTCTTTCTCCTCTCCTCCCCTTCCCCACTATCTCTTCTCTCCCCTCTTTTCGACCCATCTCCCCTCTCTTCCCCAACCGGTCGAGGCAAATGACCGCCCACATTGAGCCTGGTTCTGCTAGAGGTTTCTCCCTGTTAACTAGGGAGTTTTTCCTCTCCACAGTCGCCAAAGTGCTTGCTCATTGTGGGAGCTGTTGGGTTTTTCTATATTAAATAAGATTTTAAGGTCATGTATATCATGTTCCGGCTCTATACAAATAAAACTGAATTGAATAGAATACATCTTGAGTGTTTTAACTATTGACTTAAGTGTTGCAGGATTGTGTATGTGATGAGAGTTTTATGGTCTGGATGTCCAGTTGCAGCAAGGCGGGATGTGATACAGACAAGCTTATTACATAACTGGCTGAATTGGTTTCTTTCCTCTTTCTTGAGGCAATTCGAGGTATAAGAGCAGAAAATACCAAAACAATCGTGCAATGGAACAAAGTGTGAAATAAACCATAAACACACACTTAAAAAAGGCAGGAGATAATCCAACACTTACGGTCTTGTTTATGAGCGAGTGACTTGTATTTGCGCAGTAATAGCTCTCGGTGCAGCATCCACCGCACCGATGCAGCGCCACACATCGAGGGAGGTACATCTGACCGGTAGACTCTGGATATTCCTTTGCGACCTCCACACACACCTCTCTGGGCTGGCACAAAATCCGTTGCATCTCCTCTAGGATGACTGAAAACATGTGTACAATGGGTCCATGAAGGCTTTGTGGCAATGGTAGGAAATCATTGTCATGAGTAGTTTTAATGTTTCCAGTAATTTTTTTCAATGCTGAATTAAAACATGATTTCTCTGATTATATCACCAGTGCTCTGATTTGGAAACCTTTTGGCACTTTGCTTTTTAAAATACTGTAGAGAGGAGAATGAAGAGGGAAGAAATGTGAAGGTTTAAACAGATTATAACTTGACAATCTGCTTGATTAATATGAGCGTTGCTCCATAAACTTGGATTCAAATGTGTTCTCTCAGTCACACTCGTCTGCTTTTCATTGAAATTTAACAGTTTGCAACTGAATAGTTTTTTTTTCTCAATGTTTACCTCCCAAAGTCCCGTCAACTTTGTGAAGAGCCTCCTCCCTTGGCTGACCCCAAAGATCTTCATCGTAATCCATAGGGCTCGCTGAGGTGGCTGAAAAAGATTGGGGTGAGGAGGCATGCCATGACTTCTTCTTCAGGCAGTGCTGAAGCAAACTGTATTCTGGGTACAGAAGCTGTAATAGCTGATCCATAGTTGTAACTGTGTCCAAAGTTGGCTGGTCATTTGACAACGCAGGAGCCTGGAACACAGGAAACATTGACTTAAACACCAAATCCCCCCAATTGTACTTCTTTGCTTGTTGTGACCAAGTTTTTTTAATTCAGGAGGTAAAAGTAAACACATCATACTATTTACATTTTGAAATGTTAGAAACAAGTCTAATTAGTCTTGAGTCCTGCTCTTCTGAGAAAAACTATTAGATGCTACAGTATTTACAGCATCGGCTTTGCTGCTTTGAGTTGAATAAACAGTAAATACCTCAGCTACCAATGTGTTGTAACATGTTGTTGGCTACTGTTAGTTATTATGGTCATGTGTCATCTCAAGTCGTTGCGTTATCATACATAAGGGGCCTGTAAGGTCTGTTTCCTCAATGCCTCTCCCTCTATGCTTTTATGGTTTATTTATAACAGCCGAACTGCGCTTAAAAAATGTAACCTCAGGCAAAGTGATAAAATTTGAAAGAACCTGCCCTTCTTCTGCAGTTCCTTTTGAGATGCTGTAATCTGACCCAGTTTACCCATGGGCTTAAATTTTTGCAGCAGCATTTCCTTTTGAATGAGAACTTCGTGCTACCCCATTCTGAATCAGCCCTCCGTTAAAAGTTCAACCTTGATCTTGTACCTTAGAGCTTTAGAGGGGCCCTGAAATAAAGCACTCTTTAATGGACCAGAGTGAAGATTCTCTAATTCAGCCAACAACAACATTATGGTTATGGTACAATGAGGGCTTTATGTGGTAGATCAGGTCCAGGCAAGAAATCCCAGTTTGCTCCAGATTTCGCTCTATAAACCATCCCCTCTGTGCGTCATGCCTGTAATGATTTTTCTGCCATCATGATGGATTAATTTTTTTTTTTTTTTTACTCCATACAGATACAGTGGATGAATGACAAAACGTTAATTGTGTAATAGATTAGCGAATAGCAGCCGCTGTATCATCTGTGAGGGACTAAGCGTCAGCTGGGAGTTTGAGTGTCACATGTTAATTCTTCCTCCAGGGAGTGCGAGTGGTTGTTTAACTTCCCAGGCTGAGAAGGAGCAAACTGGCACAGCTGGTATTACCTAAACAGAAACCAGATCTCCCTGCGTCCTTATCAGTCTGATCATTTATCTCTTTCTCCCCAACTCTCTCCCTGCCTCCCCCTCCCCATCCATTTGGTCCATCCATCTCCTCTGTCTCAACGTACATATTCTGTCCTCCCTTTTCTATCAGTCTGACAGTTCTTTACTTCTGCTCTATCTTATGGTCAGCTGTGACATTAAACATGAAATTCTTCTTTCAGGGTGACTTTTACAAATATTGTGAAGAAGAGTTGTGTATAAATGAGATTAAATTGAGGACGAGACTGACTGTAAGGCTTCTTGCTTTGTTTGTACCAAATGTATTGGCATTACGTCCAATAGTTGGACATTTTACTCAAGCTACAAAGTTAAAGTTCAGAGGTCAATTAAAGCAGACCTCAAATTGAATGACAAATCTTACAACTGACTCAATTAATTCTGGCTCACATGGTATTAAAATACTGGCACATTAGAGGAAATTTATTTGGAATTCCGGTGAAGTTGGGTCAAAAATAACCAAATGGATTCGTAAACATAGTGTTAATCTGTCTCAGCAAAACCCAGAACACATAGTTGACTTGTTTGTGGTGTCTTGGCAGGAAACGAAAAATACTTATTGGATTGTTGTCAGTCATGATTGAAGGCGCAGCTTCAGTTTCAATAGTTTGTCTGCTTGAAACAGGAGACGTGACGATACAGATAAAGTATGTACTTCATGAGATAAGTATTCTCTTTTTAATGTACCTTTAAAATTGGTTATGAGCTTTTCAAGCAGTTATCGATCATATTGATGATGACTCTCCCTCTTTTTTGTTGTGGTTCCACTCTCCTTCGTGTTAGGTGGTCACATGACATGAGGTCATTGCTCTGGGAATAGTGAGGTCATGATGGACCAGTCATTCATCCATTACACTGGGGTGTGTCTATCATTAGATACTGCTGGCACACAGACACGCACATGCACACACCCATGCATTTGTTACTCAATCTGTTTCCTTGTGTAAAAACCTTGTGTGGAGCATTCGTCTAATACGTACACACAATTTCTTTTACATTTCTCTTTTTGGCCAGGGCCTTCAAAATATGATTAGTAGTTCAATTCAATTCAGTTCATTCAATTCTGGGACGCTTGTAACTTGAGATATTTTCTTCTGTATTTTGAAATGGTGGTTAACAAACTCCTGGCAGTGCACTAATGCTGTTGTTATGTTAACAATACATGACAGCGAGTACCATGTCTCACCTCTGTTTAAGACATTAGTGGTTGGACAAACACGATAAAAGCTTGGAACTTAAGTTTCCTGGCTGATTTGTAAATGGTAGGTACTCAAAAGTGATGTCCTCTAAACTAACAAATTGACAGGCCTTGAATGAAACTTGGCTCCTACTGGCTTATCTGATTGGGTTAAAGATACAACTAGTGTTGTTATAATTAATAATACACTTTATTAAAATGTTTGGATCACTGTCATGTGGATCTTGCAACGTCCATTTCTGGTGATACCATCTTCTTAAATACAGAACAAGCCTTGTCTACATACTTATCTTTTACTTAAAGGGTTTCCTAAAACACCAAACAGATATATGCAATTAACAAGAGCAGATCTCTTAGATCTAATGATTTCCTAACAAAGATTGTATAATTGTCATAGATATTCTAGGTATTGAATCGATATCTGGTGACAGCAATGTTTCTAAACTCACTTAGAAGAGCACAGCTGTCCTTTAATTTCACCCACATGTAATCAAATCCAGACTTAAATTGACAAGTTGTAAAAATTAGTAAAAGCCTTTGGTAGTTTAATCAGAAGCCAATGATGAATGGTCCAGCCTTATATAACCCTCGAGTTCTGACTAAGCACACATTTACAGATGATAGAGAAATTAAATGTCTCACCACAGTGCCCATGTCTCCAGTTTGATAATAGTCCATATAGTCTTGTCCTGAGCACAAATGGCTAATGTTAAGCACCCATAGGAGCAAAGCTGGTATCCACATAGTGAGGAGATGGAGAAGTGAGGAGAGGAGATATCAGGACACAGGAGGAAGTTGGTTACTTTAAAGAAGGAGAGGAAAGTGGTTGAGTCTAAGGTGAAGAGGAGGAGGAGCAGCAGGGTATCACAGACTCGGCAGGTTTCACTTTGGTCCTCTCTTCATTCTATCCGGGGACGAAGGTGCTCTTCTTGCGCAAGTCCTTTGAATTGTGTTCCGAACGAATCATGATGAGAGAATCGTCTCTTCTGTATCAAACACGGCTCTTGTTCCTTAGAAGATTTCTTTCCTCCTCTGCTGCATGTCCATTCTTGCTGCGGATTGGATGTTCCTAAAATCGTTGTCCTCTTTATATCCACAAGTCCTCAGTCTCTGCCTTTTTTTTGTAGATTTTCATTTATCCCCCTCTTCCTTTCCAACCGTGTTGTCCTCTTCAGTCTCTTCTCCTTGCCCTTCACACTGGTGCACCTCCTTTCTTTATCTATATTTTCCCTTCACACACCAGCTGTGCTCTTCCCTCCCTCTCTCTCTCTCTCTCTCTCTCTTGCTCCCTCCCTCTCTCACAAATTATTGCTGGTTCTTTCTGTCTCCTGTTTTTTCTTCAAACCTTCAGGGCAAAGCACTCTCTCCTTGGACTTTTTTGCTGCTTTCTAAATCTGTCACAACTTTTCTGTTGGGCTCAGTGATCAAAGAGAGAAATAAAGAGGAAGAAAATCCTGTTCTGCAATGTAGGTTTTTGAAAAAAAGGATGCAGCAGGTTTAAAAAAGCTCTTGGTATTAAGTTCTCATCCAAACAGGGGGAATGTGCATCCTGCTCGAAGATGTCCTAATCGAGTGAATGAGGAAAAAAGACAAGAATGGAAGGATTGTCTCTCGTGGGTGGAGTGAAGGATGTGACAGATGAGTCTTGTGTTGTAGCTGATTATACTGAAGCGCTCCCCTCCCAGAATTGTAGACCATAGTGTATGCTGTAGCAGACTCTCATCATATGTTCCACCCACGTTACTTATCGTAATTACTCTTCCTTTTCTCGCACATTCCTGATCCTCGCCATCTTTGTAATTCCATGGAATGGGAGCAGCTGCCACTGATGTGTCTGAAATGCGTGTTCAGTAGCAGCCAGTGGGGATGAATGTATGAGTTGCCTTCCTAAGGGAATCTTTATGAGCTGCTAATACCTTTGCCGTCTTTCTCTTCTGTTTCTCTTCACTTCACCTCAGTAATCTCTGATTTCAATGTTAAGCGTCTGTGTGTGTGTGTGTGTGTGTGTGTCTGACTGAACCAGAGCCAGAAAACTGGTCTAACACCTGCAGCTCCACACTTTTTCAACCTTTTCCCTCCCCCTCTCCCCTCTTGTTCTCTCTCACTGTCATCTGTCGGTTCAAGGTCCCAAAAAACTTTACATACCTCCTTAACTATAGTGCCCCAAGGCTTTGTGTCACAGAGGGAGAGGGGAGGGTAAGGAGAGGTGAACAACTTTGTCTTGATTATGATATACTTTTTTCCCCCCTCTCCTAGGGCAAAGGTGTTACCGACAACTGTAAAATAAATTACGGAGAAGACGGACAGGGAGGCGAGAAAGGAGACGGGAGGCCACAACAAGGAGGGAGAAGGAGGTGTGTCTGACTCGAATGAGAAAACATCCGATTTTTGGACCAGTCACTGCCAGTCTTTTTGAGGGATTAAAGACGCACTAACACGCATGCACCCGGTGGCAAGTGTCTGCTTGCAGTAGCTTTATGTGTTGAAATCCATGCAACCAAATTCCACATTCCAGTCATTGTTTTCTCCATTTCATCATGTGAGTTCGGAGCATAGAATTGGTGATGATAGAGAGGTTTATCAGTCATGTAATTCCAGGCTTGATGCTGTTAGATATCAAACCAAAAGGCCTCCTGGTGCTACTCTTTTCATAAGAGTCAAAAGCAAACAGAATCCCCTGCTGCTTCAATATAAACTCTGTACATGTGAAGGAAAGGATTAACTTCCCTTGTCAAGCTAAATGGAACAATTTGAACTTCTGATAAAATATTTATTGACCATAGTCTTTGCCATGAACAAACAAATTGTAGTTTTATTTGCAATTTGGCATTATTTGGGGTGGTTTTCATTAAGCCTGGAGCCAAATGAAACCTCAAATACAGTCTGTTCCTTTTTATAGCAGATTTTATTGGACCAGATGGTTTCTTTTATAAAAATCATACCTTAAAAAAAGATGAGATGCAGTTAGTCACTGTTGTCTGAAACAGAGAAAACTTGTATGTACAAGAAAGTTTTATTTCCTGGAGGCAATATGTCCCCAGACACACGACTCCAACATTGACAACTTCATTATCTATAAAAAAAGAGCATTTCAATTTTTGATTAATGATGCAATGCAGAAAATAATCCCGTTAAAGCTCAATTTAGGCCAAAAATTTTCATTCACGCTTGCATGTGTCACATCCAGTAAATGCCAGTTCATAGGTGGTGAGGCTGTTGAGTAGCTGCCAATTTCTTTGTTTGGTTTATGCACCTTTGCCAATGTCATAATATTCAGGGAGAATACATGTTGTTATCATGGGTACTATTATAACACCTGACCTTCACAAGTAAGAAGTTATGGTTCAGTTTCTGTAACCCCAGCTGTCCTTGCTCCACGTCGTCTCTTTATCAAACGCTGTCCACATCATGTGCCCTGCAGGAGATAAAGCGCTCTTTGCGCCAGACAGTCGCTAAAACTCACACAGCGGAGCCATTGTCCTCCATAACTGTGGAAAACTGCATTCGTTTTTACACTTGTATATTAATTTTTAACTAATTCATCTTAAGAGTAAGTGTGGCAGCAAAGCTCATACCGTGTGACCATTCCACTATCAACCAGTGTTTGAAGGCAGATGCGGAGTGGACTCTTTGGCGATATTGGAGAAAGCAGTGACGTGTTCTTTGGTTACACTCAGGAGCTGTGACAACCAAGTTCCGTTCACTGTGAATACTCAGAACATTTCCTTACAGCACAAGAGCTCAAGGTTATGTTTGATCCTTTAATGATCAATGAGGCATCAAACCTGCTTGTTGTGGCAGAGTTTCTGACAACAGATGAATAGCCTTGGATTTGGCTTCTGCTTTGACTAACACTTCTAGGGCCTCACCTTGAAATAACATGTAAATTAACAGGAGATTTGTTTTGGATTTGCTTTATATATGAGGCTTTCAAACCTTATTTGTAACCTTCCTCTTAAATCTCAGTATTCTTGAAAGTCCCCAAGTTTGATTTGTTTAAATCTGAGTCACAAGATGCTCATGTAATGTTGTTACAAAATCTGCAGGCATATAATTAAATGCCTTGTGGATTTAGGGTAATGAGGGGCCTAAGTCCTAAGATGCCAATACCTTCAATTACATACTTTGGGAAAGTGGTCTCAGATTTTTGGACCTTGCTCTACATGCATGGGAAACTCTCACTTCTAGTTGTTTCTTTAGGTCAAAAGTAAAATACATCAACCAGCAGCTTTGTTTATCTGCTCGACAAAGTTTATTGCCATATCCGAGTACCCCCAGACTTCTACGCTCGGCGAGCTGGTTGTTTTTGTAATGATTCATCCATAGTTTTGGGATGTGGAGTTCAGTTCCCTGAAATATCAGGACAGTCATGGTTGTGCTTTTCTCGAGTATTTTACCCAAAATGAAACTTGTATGTCTTTGGTGATGGTTGATGGAGAGGACAATGTTAGAATCAAGAGACTTCTGGCCCTCAGAGTCCAGAGAGCATCACAAGTTGGGTTTGAGGTACTTATCACCCTGTTGTAACATCAAACTATCCGGCAGTTGCACAAATCAGTATTCACATATCAGATTTTATGGAAAGATTGATCCTTTTTACCCTGGAACAAAATGAATGTCACTTCAGTCCAAATTCAATTCATCCACAAACTAAAAAGTGTAAATAAATGAAACTGTACATGACGATCTGAACAGAAATATGGAAAATGGATTTGTTGACATGTCCCTACATTGAACAAACCTTACACATTTTGTTTGTGTTTTTAGTTTTGCAGTTTAAACCAATACCTTTGTGTCAAATACCAGTAATTTTGGTGAGCGGGATAGATTACTAAGAGTCAGTCATTATTCTCAGTCATAACTGAGGTGAAGCTAAAGATGTGTTGCTCACGTCTTTGATTTCATAGCAGACCAGAATGAAGGCCAGTCGATGTGCTAGTATTTCACTTCTCATACCAGTGAACCTCCTAAAGGTTCATGGATTCTCTTGACTTTACTTTTGCTTTTGATGCTATTGAAGCTATCCCTTTTTTTTATAGGTCGAGCATGAAGACAACCCTCGTCATACACATGGTGGTTTCACATTCTCCTGCCACAGACAGGATGACGGTGTTCATTGGTGAGTGGGAGGCCCATTGCTGCCAGACCCAAGTCGCCCACAAGCTGGGCTCAGTCCATTGGGAGTTGTTGAGACGGGAAATCACAGTGGAGTTGTTTTATTACACACACTTCCTGTATTTTAGTTTATTTCCTGCATGTATGACGTCTTATTGATTATAGTAATGACTGTCCAAGTACTTTTTTGATAGGAAATTAAACGCCCTTGGTGGAAAGTAACTACTTGTTTAGTACTTCACAACATTATTACTCGTTATAAGTACAATAGTTTAATATGATTGTTGTTAAAGGTCCAGTGCGTAAGATTTAGGTGAAAAGGAACTATTGTCAGAAATTTAATGTAGAATAATCCTCATGATATTTTCACGAGTTTGCTTGATCTAAGTTGTATGGATTGTTGTTTTCTTTACCATAGAATTAACCTTTTGTATTTAGAAATTAAACGCCCTTGGTGGAAAGTAACTACTTG